AGATAGATAGATAGATAGATAGATAGATAGATAGATAGATAGATAGACAGACAGACAGACAGACAGACAGACAGATAGATAGATAGATAGATAACCCCACCTAGAATTTCTACAAAAATGCCATTTCTTATTTTATAAATTTACTATGTCTATATTCAATGTAAAGATGAAGAGCAATAGTGTGCTAGAGATTTCCTGTTGCTGAGTTAAACAAACCCCTAGGTGCACCTGGGCAGATTGTAGAACAGAGCAGGACATTTAGATCCATCTCTTGTGCAGAATTAGCAGTGGAAAACAGAAGGCAACAGCACCAATAGGACACAATTTGGAGTCTCATCTTCACGCCATCGAAGAATGTAAATTGCTACAAATCTGGCTCAAATACAAGCCAATGTTTTCTTTTCGTTTCCCTCGCCTCGCTTTTGGGTCTTGGTTTTTAATCATCTTTAGGGAGAAAACAAATGTCTGCCCTTGAAAACCTGGAAGATTATTATTTTATAAATCTTACAAAAGGTATTGTTTTAATACAGGTTTTGGTTTTTCTCACAAACCAAACAAAACCTTCTTTTAAGGGAAACTTTACTCTCCCCCCCCACCCTCCCCGAAAGAGCTGTTCAAGAAAGAGCAGAAACCTACTGAATTGAGTAAACATGCAATGGCTGTGGAACTTTCAACTGCTCTTGTTGAATGTTCCAGAGAATCCTGGCACGAAGTGAGAGAGAATAAGATATTCATTCCTCTCGGACAAAAGACTTCTAGAAGCAGGCAAGGCAACAGTGAAAGAATCTGACAGAGAAACTCTTACTTTGGGGTCAGCCATTTGGGGGAGTTAGAAATTGAGCAGATTATCTGTCGTATGTAGACAATGATCCCGAGGATCGAGCAATTCTCAATTTGCATGGAGAAATAGGAAACCAGGCTGCAGCAGTTTCGTGGACACAAAACCACAAGACAAGTACCACCTCTAGCAAGACATAACTCTGGGCTTCCCATACATTCCTGAGCAGTAAACCTTCTGAAGGAAATTCACTGGAATTTCAAGGACATTTCCAATAAAATGTCTGACCAAATAGCCAGGCCTTGTCTCTAGTTGCTCTATATTCTGGGTGCTCATTTGCACAACTGTGAACAGTCAATCTGGTAAGGGGTGAATGTAAATATTTCAATTATGAAGATGGCCCTGCTGGATTAGAATGAAAGGTCTCAAAAAAGATCTCAAAAAAAGGGAAAAAGGAAATCCGTGGCCATTCCGATCTTGACTCCAAGCCAATTCCAGCCAGCAAGACCAACAGTGAGGGATGACGAAATTTTCTGATGGACCATAGGTTTTCTGACTCCTACTCTAGAAATATTTTTTACTACAAAATTGCTTGAAAAAGTGACAGTACTACTTGAAAACTATACCTTCAGGAAAGATACAGAGGACAGGACACAACGGAACATTCAAAAGAATTTCCCAGTATGTAAACCAAGGGGAAAGTCTCCCTTGCATTGACCAAACTGACAGGAGAACAAGAATGCCAGTTAATGAGGATCAAATTACTTGTAATCCCCATGGAACATGTAGTGTTTAACACTGAATAGCATCAAAAGACTTCAAGCTACACTAAAGGGAACCCTTGAAACAAATCAGGAGCGTCCAGTTTCACACACTGTCTCTTTTTAGGTTTAAACTCATCCACTTCAGGAAATTTGCTTCCAATTCCTCCCTCTAGTTTCGTCCACTATTTTCAAGCTCTACTTTATCAAGGGAGTGACCTTGATGCAATGGAATTAGTCTACCTGCAATAAATCCTTGGTATAAAAGGAGCCACACTCAGATATAAGAAAATGAACGAAATGGAATGAAACGGCAAAATGATTAAATTCTAAAATCGAGATGGTAAAACTGCAATAGTTTGGGAGAATTGTGATCAAATGTTTCAAGTGCTTCAAAATTTTCACTTCAATCAATGAACTTTCTTTTTTAACAGGAAAACCATCCAGCACCCTGTGACTTTATCTGTTCCACACGTCAACAGTATTACTTGATTTCTAAGCAACAAATAAATTATGCACAGTTTTTTTTTCTTAAGACATTGATTGTAATTCTTGAGCTGCCACTACCCAGACCGGAGAAACACACTTACCAGGCACACTGAATTCAGTGGATCTTACTTCTGAGTGAACATGCTTAGGATCAGGCTTCAGGTCTTTTATGATTGCGACAACCACCACAATTCCATCTGTCAAAAGGGAAAAGCAATGTTGCTCTCAAAACGTCTAATGAACATTATACACAATAGGTGCCCTACTTGGGAACATGAAGGTAATGGAAAGTAATCTTCCCCTAATCTGGATCTTTGTAGATGGGTTGGACTGTAATTCCCAGTGGACTGTGGTGGCTGGGAATGGTAAGAGTTGTAGTCCAACCTGCCTGGAAAGCACCAGGTGAGGAAAGTTGCTGCTAAGGGAACACTTCTTGCTGCAGCCATTTTACAAAGCCCAGTCACACACAAAACCATGGCTTTGCACAGGCAGAGTTAGAAGTGGCGCAGTATAAACCTTTTCATTTTGTGCAGTATAAACCTTTTTTCAATTTCTTTTTGCAGGTGAAAAGATCATTTGCAGAAGGGGAAGGCAGCTGTTAAAAAGGTTTCTGAAGACAGGAATCCCATACGGACTCCTTCAACAATTGATAGGTTGTAGGAAGCAGCATTTATCAAATGGAGATGTTATCAGCAGTATTCCGATATCCTGAAAATGTCTTAATGCTTCCTTAATTCCTCTATTGTTCACTTTTATATAATGGGAATTTGGAGGGCCAATAGAAGGAAAGCAGTTGGTCCTTCAAGCCCAATTTACCAGACTTCTTTTAAAATAATTCCAGATTAAAGAAACTAGGTTTACACGTTCAATACATGGCCGTAATTAGTAATATTAGTGGGAGAGAGGAAAGGTAGAAAAGAACAATGCTGCAGAAAACACCAATGCTGGTGTGTGTAAGAGAGAGCTCCAACATCAGAACTGAAATATTCTGTCCAGTTTCCTTATGAATTTGAGGACGTTTTTGTTATTTAAAACAAAGAGAGGTGTCAAGCAGAGCAGAAACTCAACATTTAGACGGCCAGGGATTTTTCAATAAAATAAGCCAAAGGTGTTGGAAGATAGAAAAGAGCCTGGGAAACCCACCCGTCTTTTTTCCACTCTTTCTAAATTCGATCAAAAGGAAAATTGTTTTTTGACACTGACATTTCAGGAGCTGCACTGCAAGAGGTGGCAGGCTGCAACTGCCACCCTCTCTAGGCTGCCCTTCTGACGCGGGGTGGGGGAGCGGTCGCCACAGCTCAGGCCCCCCTTTCTCGCGCCCCCTCCGCCCCCACCCCGCGGTCAGATCTCGAGACCCTCCTTGGCGGCCTTCTCGCCCGCCTCAGCCTCTGGGCTCCTTCGGCGCCTGCCATTTTCTGCCTTGGACCTGCAACCAGGCCGCACCGGGGGTGGGTCGGGGGGCTGTTCTAGCTCTCCTCTCTCGTGCGACGATGGCGGTCCTCGGCCTAGATCTCCACGACGCAATAGGTGGAGAAGGCCCCGAACAGATCCGCGCTTCCCCCCCCCCCAACCTCACCCCCCCATCCCCGGGCTCTTTTTCTCTTGCTCCTCGTCTGCTGCGCACAGGTACAAAAAAAAAAACAGCCCTTGGCACACCCAGCTGGCGCCGTTTCCTTCTAGCGCAGCGCGATCCTCCCAGCTAATCTCGCAGTTCAAAGCCACAAGCCGCTGGTGGGGTGGGGGGGGGGCGGGGGGGGTAAAGGGGGGTGGGGGGGGGGGAGAGGGGGAAAGGGGGCCGCGGGGCACCGGGGCAGCGGAGGCGAAGGGGGGGGGGGGGGGGGGGGGAGAGAGAGAACGAGACCCGCATCGCCGGATGGTTACCCGAAATAAAACAAGGCGAGCGAAAAAGAGCAAAGGTCACGGCAGCCAGAGCAAGCGGCTTGGCTGGGCGAGTGCCCCGATCCCAGCCGCCTGAAGCTTTACCGAAGATAGAGAGAGAGAGAGAGGTGTGCCAAAGGCAAGTGGGGGGGAGGAAGCTCGACGGTCCCCCCGCACAGCCAGAGAGTCCAATCCCTTGGACTGACTGGGCTGATCCCGGGCCAGAGGCGGCTATACAGGATGCGGCGCTCTTAATCCCAGCGAGCGCCCAGGTAGGTAGGTGCCTGCGACTGAACGCAGTCTCTTCATAAGGCGGGTGTGTACGGAGAGGGGACGAGCCTCTCTGGCAGGGGCATCGGGCTTAATTCCAGTCCATGCCGAAGAGACAATTCGTGGAAAAAAACGATTCGTGGTCTTCTTTCCTCTCTCTCTCTCTCTCTCTCAAGATACATGAAGTTTAAGGGCACACGCCTTTCCCGCAGAAGATCAGGCGAGGAAGTAGAACGACCCCCCCTCTCTTTCTTTCATCCCCTTTTCCTCTCCCTCCCTCAACCCCGCGATGATTTTTCTACTTACTTTCAACAATCCAGTCCAGATCATATCTCAACAGGCGAGGTAATCCTAAATCCGTGAGGGAGGGAGGGGGGGAGAGAAAAAAAATCCGGCTGTTCTTGCACGTGGGTGGTGAAGGATGAGGTTAAAGATCGACACGAAACACACCCGGGGCTCGGAGAGCAACCTTACAAGTGGTGCGCTGTCAGGAGCGGCGGCGGCAGCAGCAGCGGCAGCCGTCGCTTCCCCCTCGCTTCGCTGTTGCAACAAACTGCTGCCTGGGAAAATGGCTATTTTATGAATGGGAGGGAAAGGGCCTCTACTACGCATGCTTGTCCTCCCAATTCTATGAATGGGTGGGCACTGGATTTCCAAGGCGCATGCTCTGCTCTCATTTTATGAATGGGGGGCCGGAAGGAACTCATTGAGAGTTAAGGATGACTATAGACTGGATGTTTTTCCTCTTTTTTTTTTTATGAATGAAACGCGGTAGCTGCGGGCAGTTGCGCATGCACCACGGTACACACCCCCAGACTCGGGCTGTTGCTAAAGCGAAGTTACAGTAGAGGCAGGGAGTGGATGTGCGGTTGAGAGTGAAATAAAGGAAATAGGTCGGAGTGGAAAAATAGCCTTTGTCTTTCCGATCGAGGGCGGCCGATGGGATTTCTCATGAGTAATTAAGGAAGGCGGGCGGAGAGGGCGTAAGAGAAAGTGCGGTTGGACGCTATTTCGGATCCTTTTGCGAGTAGTTCTCCTGGCTGTCGCTGGGTTTTCATTCCCCGAGGACTATAGTGAGCCTCTGGATGTCCCGCGGGATCGCGATACAACACATTTTTGCTGTATTAAGTGGAAGTCCAGGGGTTTCGGAGACCTTTTTTTAAAAAAAAAGATGAAGACGACACTGGGAGGTTGGGAGAATATGCCCCCTCCCTAATCCCTTCACAAATCTGGACATTTTGTAGGGCTTCGATCTGATTCGTTCCCCACGTCCGCGGCTCAGAAGAAATCTGGAATTCTCTGTATTGGATATTGTATTTGTTCATTTAAAGGACACGGTCTGCGTTCCTGGGAGCCTTGAGGGCAGCAGGAAGGTAGGGATGTGTTTAAGAAAAGGCCTCTTGATCGATGGAAAACGGCCGAGCTGCAAATCAATACGCATTCCTTAATCCTCCACCCCCATCAGCTTCCTCTTCTTTCCCCCCCCCCCCCCCAGGACAGAATCATACTTATAAAGGGCGTGTCATATTTTTCAATTTTCAGTTTCCAAACATTTTAGGGGTGCTCAATTTCCATGGGGATTGTAAAAGTATTTGGGTTACTTTGATATAATTTAAATGTGCTTGGTAAGTAACTGTATAAATACCCTCACTTTTTAGCATTTTGTTTGCTTCATTTGTTATATCATTAGCTGCATTCAGTGCATCTGCAAAGCCTGAGTTCAAACAAACAAACAAACAAAAAACCAGGGTAAAGAATAAGTTTAACGTGGAACATTTGATTTTCCAGAATATCTTCCCAAGCAAGAGCAGAGCCTGGATCATCCAAAAAGAGCTGGGCCAAACCATGTCAGCTGACGTCTTCAAACTCAAACTGACCTCCAGTTGTGTGGGACTACAATGATCTCCGCCCCCAGGCTGACAGGAGGGGGTAATGGAAGCTGTTATTCCATCACATTTGGTCTCATCCATCGTCACTGAAGTTTAGAAGCAGGCAAATAAACCTGAAATGGGGGAGAAGGGCAGAATAGGGCAGAAAGGCAGATGAGTCTTAAGCAAAACAGCTTACCCAAGTAATGCAATCTGATCTATGGCAACACCTGTGCGGGTATTCTGGCAAAACGAAATGTATCTGTGACTTTCAGTCAGTGGAAAGGCTCGAGGAATCTTTTCAGACCACCTACTACAGTCTGATATTTCTCCATTTGTGTGAATCATGGGAAATAGAGAAAGAAAGAAATGGAAGATCCCTTTTTTCTTCCTGTAAATGTTCCCCTCTAAAAGGCTCTTCATGCTATCAAGACATGGCATTGCTACTCTGTCTCTATATAACCATATTTGGTAATAACAATATTTGGTAACCGTTCAAAGAACGTTTGTTATTACAAATAAAATATGGGAAAAAAAAACCAGTGGGGAGGGAAGAATGGAAGATAACATTGTTACATTGCCTCTACAATTCCATAAACAAAGCAGGGTAATTGTCAGCAAAAGCCTTGGAATAGCTACATCCTTGCACTGTAAATTAGATCTAAATGATATGATCCTGTTTAAGTGAATTCATTGCAATTCTAGTCAGTATTTTTTTGTATGTGGAACTTTTTCTTGGCCCAATGGGGAAAGGAGGTATCTAGAATTTGTAGTGTCTGATCCTGGTAAAGAGCTCTGGGATTTACGGTAGCATAGCCTTCTCTGTAGGAACGGAACCTCCCGTTGAAGTGAAATTTTCATCTTAGTATTGACTCAGAAATACATTTCTCTAAGTGCCAAGGAAATTTCCAGGAAATTGGAATATAATTAAATTTACATGCAGACATGATTCAAGAAATAGTGAATGAGAATTTTCTGAAGCCTTAACTTGTTGGAATGTTTAATAATCTCATAACATTCGAATGTTCCTGTAACCTTGTTAAATATTAATTGCAAGTGCCTCTCGTTCACTTTAATAGAGGAAGTAAACACGAAGAGAGATTCAGAAGCAATTTTCCCCTCACGAAGACTTCGTATTATTCTGAATTGTAAGATAAATGGAAAATGGCCCTTGAATATTCAGAATGATGTGGAAATACAAATTACTATTTGATATATAAAAAATATTGAATAGAATCAGATGGAACCTGGTAGAACTTTTTCAGATTAGCACATTTTATTAAAAGATATAATGCATTAGAGTTTACCTCATCTGACTCCTGGGGAATAGTAACCATTTTGTTAACTGATAGCTAAGGCCTGTATGTTTGTATGAGTTAAGGAATGCAAAAGGGAATTGCTTCCTTCTCAGCTAATGGAGACCTTTTTCACCTGAAAGTTCAGGAAAGAAAAAAACAAAACAAAACAAAATCTGAGTATACACTTTGAATTTTTTTAAATTCACATCAGCTTCAACTCTACTCCACAACATTATTTTAAAAGACTTACTGATAACATTAGAATTGCTTGAATTTCTAAAACAGAAAAGTAAATCACACAGTAAATATCTCCTGAGAAGGGAAAAAAGCTTGAGAACAACTATGCAAAAAAAGAAAATAATTTATTTCACCATAGTCACTATAGTCACCAGGACAAATTCCTTGTGTGTCCAACTATACTTGGCCAATAAAGAATTCTATTCTATTCTATTTAAAGAGCTATCATTTTCTTGCAGAGCCAGCTATGTCCGTGGGCAAAGTGAGTGCCCCTTAGGCAGTGAGTGCTAAAGAGCAGAATACTGTCCAGAACTGGAAGGGGAACTTGGAGGTCTTCTAGTCCAACCCACGGCTCAAGCAGCAGACCCTATACCATTCCAGACAAATGGCTGTCCAATCTTTTCATAAAAGCCTCCAGTGATGGAGCACCCACAACTTCTGAAGGAAATCTATTCCACTGATTAATTGCTCTCACTGTTAGAAAATTTCTCCTTAGTTTAGGATACTTTTCTCTTTGATTAGTTTCCATCCATTGCATCTTGTCTTGCCTTCTGGTGCTTTGGAGAATAGTTGACCTCCTCTTTTTTGTGGCAGCCCCTCAAATATTAGAACACTGCTATCATGTCCACCCTTTTAGAAGAGAAGGTTAAGTTGTTGGATGACCCATAGTGCTAACCCTTCAGCATCTCAAGGCTATCATATTGTATACAATCAATCACCTGAATTAATAAAGAATTAATTAAGAACAAATATTTATTCTCCTTTTGACATTTAGATTTCAGCTTAAGGTTGCCTATTAATGTCAACATAGATTAATATAAATTTATTCCCATACCATTTGTAATCATCAATATAAAGGTAAAAAAAAGGGCTTTTAACCTCCTTTTCTCTCTCCTTCGCCGCTTAAAGATCTTCTTTCAGAAGTATCCCTCTAGGTACTTTCAGATTCAGGGTACCTTGCTTAGATGTTCTCTGTTGTTTATCCTGGTCTGTCCTGCTTTCCTCTTTGTCTACCTCTTGCACAATCTTATCCAGTTGGGTTCTTCTTTGAGGTGGCCATTTCTGATCACCGCTGCAACTGCCTTCAGGGAAGGGAGTTTAGACCAGCCAAGGAGGAGAGATGCGGCTCCCCTCCATTCGGCTAGCAATCTTCCCCCTCTTCAGCACCTCTATGGGGTGGCTTCAGCCCCGAATCCAAAGGATCGGGGTGCTCCACCGGCGAGCACAGATCGAAACCGCACACGATCGCGGATTTCGGTCTGTTGCTGAAGAGACCCAAACCAGAAGTCTAGTTGACTAGATTATTGTGTATAGGTAGCAATAAGAAACTCTTCTGTGTTTTGAATTCAGTTAATGCTCCTGGTTATCTGCACGTGACAGAGAGCTAGCATCTTGAATCGCGCCTAGAAAGAAACTGGAAGTCAGTGTATCTCACACAGCATGGACAAATGAAGAACCCAGAATTTATATGCTGCCGCATTCTGAATCAGCTGTAATTTCTCAATAAACTTCAAGGGAAGTCCTGTCTAGAGCACACTGTAGTAATCCAGATGAGAAGTCACCAGGTCATGAATGGCTGTGAGCTAGGTTTTCCAATCCAGGAATGGACATAACGGGCATACAAGATATATCTATGCAACTCCTCCCCTCTCCCCACCAATAGCTGCTACCTGTTCGTTGAGGACCCCAAATTGCACACTAGCTCTCTCAAGAAGAGTGCAACCATAACAGAATTAAAGATGATACTTAACCAGAACCAGGGAAACCAAAAAACCACATCCCTTTTGCCTTGCTATGGTTGAGTCCAAGCTTCCCCGTGTTTTTGTGCCTAAAGGCCTTTGGTGCTCATGAATTAAGGGGCTGTTATGCTATGAAGATATTTGAGCACTCTGAATCCAGAAATGGAATGAATGTGGTAATAATCACATTTCTTCCTATTCATATATTATTTTCCATGCTTTCTTGTCTGTACGGACTTATTGTGGATCTGATAAACATCTAAGCAAGGTTGCCAGTCAATATGTCCGACTGAGAAATTATAGCAATTATTGCATTGAATTATCTTCACCTATTCCGGAGATCAGCAATCTTGAACACTCAAAGAGCCATAAAGATCCTAACTGGACCCCCCCCCCCGTTCAATTCTGGAGCTGACCAGAAGTCCAGTACAACACA